AGTGCAGTGAGAACTTTCTCTCTAGCCGCTGTGTGCTGTTTTCGGCACGAGCGATGTTTGTGTCGCTTGTGTCGCTCGTCCCTAACTTGGTGAAAGCATCAAGACCAAGGAACGAGCGATGGGGACAAAACATCTCGTTCTCAAGAGAGGGAGACCCGCCACCATGACCTTCAACCGCAAGCTGTGGGGGCTCTCCCATGCGTCGGATGCTTCAGGTGCTGTGTCACCATGTGATCATTTTTCCAGATGCAGAAGATTCCTGTGCCTAAGGAATATTGGCAATGTGTGGGAAGGGGTTTGGAGCCCAGCTTCAGTCTGTTCTGGTTTCAAGAAAGTCTTTTCAGCCTGGCTCAAAGATATTTCTGCTCAATGATCTAAGCTTCTCGAGTGGACAGTACAAGCTTGTAGTGTAATGTCATGTTGATTCACAGCTTTGATTTGATCTGAACACCTCCTGCGGATAGATAACTCACGATTTGCGCGCAGGACTACTCCTTCCCCAGCGGACACGCGCAGTCTTTGTCAGGCCAGGTGCAGAATTCATCATCTTCCCATTTTGGAGCATCGTGGTCACTCAACATGTTGGAGGAATGACAGGAATCTCACCAATAGTGTACCTATAATTACATACGTTGATGTATCGTTGATTGGCCAACCAAGGTGTTTTGCTTTGCAGCTTCTTTACCTTCAAGCTTCCCATTGTCTGGTTACCAGTGATGCTGCTGTGCCTTGGCCAAATTGTTGGCTGGCAGATTCCATATCGGGTCCAATATGGCCTGGCTAGAAACTTCAAAACTTAAAACGCTTCGAAAAACCTACTCGTACCAGCTTTGCACTCCCCAGCAACACGGACTTAATGAAGTTAAGCAAACCTTCATATCTTCATATATAATGGCCTTTGGAGATCATCTGGGCAGATGAACGCCAGGGCGTGTGAGAAAGCTTGCAGGTGTGCAAAGGTCGACCAAGTTCCAAAGTTAAAGATAGTTAAATTAAAGGGTTTGCAAAAGTATGTGAATAAATTCTAAGGGTGAGAGTCATTGCCAATGTTTTTCGCAACAGGACAAGGATAAGCCAGCATGCTGAAAGAATTGCAAAACCATGCAAAACCTTTGTTATCTTTGTTAAAAGGACCCTTCGAGTACGCACAAGACCTCTTTGCATGCAACATCACAGGGTTTGTAGCATAACATGTTTCTTTGCAATAAATTCCTATTACCACCTTGTGGAAGCGCAACTCAACGCCGTTCATGCCTTTCAATCCCGATGACTCGTACTGAGAGCAAGCGATGAGACAAGTGTGCGGGACAGTCATTCACCTTGTGACATGGGCAGCATGTGTCTGAATGTGGCATTGAGAGTTGCCCAGATGGAGTGAAAATGAAGACCATTTGGACCACCCTTTGATGTTCGATCCCGAAGAAGGCACCGGAACTCCTATATCCAGCTTGCACGCTCCAGGTTTGGAGCCTTCATTGCCGTATCGCGGAACTACCTTGGAGTGCATTGGTGTAGGGGCGCCAAAAAGTATCAATTCATATGAAAGCTGCAAATGCCGAAGTCGGACCAGTTCTGCGTTTCAATTGCGTTTGTATGGACATTTGTGAAATGCACGTTTGGAAGACGGTACAGAACACTGGCCTGGCGTCAACAAGGCAGTGACACCTTCACCGGTTGGGCCATCGGCAGTTTCACTGGCATTCTTTGGGGAGTTTTGGATCCCTATGACGCCTTGCTCCGCCGGGGAGCCTATGACGCGAAGCTGAGACGAGGATGAGGACTCCACCCGAACGGGTGTCACAGTGAGACGGGTGTCCGGTGTTTTGGGGTGTTCGTTCGCCGACGTTCGATGCGTCGTCCACCGAACGTCTTGATGTGTTTGATTGGAAGATCATGGAGCCCGCGCAGTCTGGCTCAAGGTGACTCTTGCCTAGGCCGGTCGCCATGACGATGTGTATGCCATACATGCGCGGGCCAACTCCGCTGTCCCGATATGCAAGGTCACTGGGGGTGCAGGAGGCTGCAGTGGAGGCACAGCCGTTGCTACTGTTTCCGATGTACACAGTTCCCCTAGAGGCATTGATGCAAATGTCTCAAGTGGTACCACACGAAGAACTGAAGGAGAAAGGCATACTGGTGGAGTTTGACCCAAGCATGGGACACGCCGCTTTTGTGTCGCACCAGTGGGTAGATAGTCAACATCCCGATCCGGAGTTCAAACAGATGCGAGTCTTGCAGGATGCTCTCAAGCATGCAATGTCGAGCGTGGAGATATCTCTTGATGTGGTAACAGCAACTGTGATGCCAAGCGCCAAGAGTCTTCCCACTTCCAAACTTTGCTCCCAACCCTTGTTTCTGTGGTATGACTACTTCTCATGTCCTCAGCTGGAGAATCAAGCAGGAGGAGAAAGCCGCCCGTGTTTGTCCAAAGCCATTGATTCCATCCCGGCCTACATCACCAAATGTTCCTTCTTTTTTGCGCTCTGCCCCGTCTTGGAAAATCCCAGTGGGAGCCGCTTGCTGACCCCTGCGACCTGGGCAGAACGTGGATGGTGTCGAGTGGAACGGGCGGTCCATGAACTTGGCCCCTGTGAGTCGTGGATCTTGATCCGAAGCTCCATCGAGCTGGAGCTGGTCGTCATCCCGGCTGTAAGCCCTGTGGGCTGCTTGGGAGGTCGTCCCCCTGCTGAGGGTCAGTTCAGTGTGGCTTCAGACCGAAGAAAACTGCAGCCACTGCTGGAAGAGGCCTTGAAGCGAAAGCTGCTGTTGCTCTTGAAGGCGCAGGATTTCGTCAACTACCGCCTTTTGCTGAACCTGCAGGGGATCCATTTGCGTGGCTTTCCTTTTCCAAGGCACTTGGAACCAATCCCAGGATTTCAGGCAGAGGACCATGCGAATGTCCCAGACCGCAGTGCTTCAGTGCTGGTGGCCCAGTTTTTATATCAGAATGGTTTCAGCAGCGTCAATGAGACAGACCAGGCAGGCTGGTCACCCTTACACTATGGGGCATTGCGTGGGGACGTCTCCTTAATCCAAGGCTTGCTGATGAAGAGGGCTGATCCGAACCGCCTCACCAAGCAAGACCAGCCCAGCGTGGGGCTGCCACCCTTCAGCTCCGCATTGACCATCTCGGTGTGCTTCAAACACAACGCGGCGGCTCGTGTGCTGATCTCAGCCAAAGCCCAGATCGAGGGCGGCTTGCTTAAGCCGATGGAGTTTGCTGCTGCGGGCGATAACCCGGAAGGCGTGCAGCTCCTGCACGAGGTTCGGGGGCCAACCAAAAGCATCCAGTCACCCAGTCTAATACCAGTAGTCCACTACAATCATATTCACAACAAGAAACAACGGGCCTAGAAAAAAGAAGCTGGAAAATCTCACCGGCTCATTGTTACAAATGCGAAGGGGGAAGGCAATCATGCATCATCATCGACAAGCAAATGTCCTACGATGACAAAGGAGTTACTTGCGTTTCACAAGCAATGTAGCATACATCCACACCATTTCCTTCTAGACTCCTTTGCCGCTGTGCACGTGTTTGTGGTGAGATTTGCGACCCCAGCGCCGACACACAGAGTGAATACTGTACATCATGCTCGGACATAACTTACTTGCCAGCACACCCCAAGTTGAGGGCGATGGACATTCTTGTCAAAAGACCTGACATTGTTTTGTCAAGAGACATGGCACCCCACCGACCTACGTCTACCTCTTCCTAGAATCTCCATCCCCCCCGGTTCTAGGCCGGCGGCCAGTTGCACGTGCGGAGTGTGATGGGCTTCACCGCGCTGGAGATCGCCAGCTGCCGCGGGGCAGCGTCGGCCATGCTGGAGATCGTTCGACTGGCGAAGGCCGAACAGCTGGACTTCTCAGGTGAGTGGGACAAGCCCTTTGCTCCTAGTAGCTTCTTGTTCCTAGTAGCGATGCCAGGAGCCCCTAGTAGCGTCCTTGCTCCTACCTCCCATGGCATCCCATGGTCATTTTACATGATTTTACGGTCTAGGACTGTGCATTCTCGGTCTAGCAACGTGCTGCAAAATATGATTATAGATGATTATAGGTTATATTTATAGTAATATTGCTCTATAGCTTTATATATCCCGCTCCACCAGCCACTGGTTGTGTAGGTCTGGACGTTTTGATCAGAATGGCTCCAGGTGCTTTGTGGTGCGCTTTGGCTTTGAAGGCTGAGGGAGGCACGGCCAGCATTGTCGGGTGGCTGCTGGAGCACCGGGCCGATGTGAACCAATCACGGAATCCTTGGCATTCCTCGCTCTATGGTGCCTTGGCGTGCACCAAAGCTCTTCAGCATCGCTTTGGCCAACAGAGCAAGGCCACCCGGCAGTTTTATCACATGTGGGGCGCCACGCCTTTAGTGATGGCCATGCTGGAGTCGCAGTATGAAGGTGCTGCGACCCTCATTGCGGCAGGGGCCAAATTGGAGCTTTGCAATTCTCGGGGCTGGTCAGCGGCGGACTTCATTCGGGAGCAGTCGGTTCCAGACTTTTTGCTGCAGGCGCTGGCCGGGAACCTCGAGGAATGCAAGAGAGTCTCTACAGTGGCTCAAAGTCGGGGCTATGCTGAGAAGTTTTGTTGATGGGAAGGTAGCTCGCTGGTCTCCTTAAGAAAGGTGAGAAAACGATTCCTTCACATCATGCCTCGAATTCGTTCAACGTTGGAAAGTCTGGTTGCGGGTCTCACCAAGAAGGTGTATGCATCCAGGCCCTGTTTTGTTTGTTCCAGAGAACCAGGCAAAGCCTCTTGGGCTTTGTCAAGGGTTCACTTGTTTCGCGAGCAAAAGGGTGTCATTTTGACCTGGAATGATTATACCCTCAACTACTAGGGTCTAGAATGCCAGACCCCCAGGGGATAG